CCCCAGGTTCTCTCCGCGCCTCACGCGCCTGCGTTTGGAGGTCGGAGGCCGAGGTCCGGGTGGGGGGTCCCCGCGGGGGGTCCCCCAGGGCCCGGCCTGGCGGAGGATGCAGGGGGCGCGCGCCCCCGGAACGAACCTATCCCCGGGACTCCCAAGGAGCAGGGCCCGGGCGAGCAGCCCCGGCTGGTACCGGCGGCAGAGGAGGAGGAGCTGCTTCGGGAGATGGAAGAGCTGCGCTCGGAGAACGACTATCTTAAGGTGCGCAGCCCGCCCCGCAGCAGGTGTCCCGGAGGCGCCCCGAGGGCCTGGGTGCGGGCGGGGACCCGTGAGGCCCGCCTTCCCGGTCCCCAAAGCGCTGTCTCCCGCTGCCATTCGCTTTCCAGTCCCCGCGCACGCTGGGCGTTGGGAACTTGAGCCAAAACTTCTGGAAGGAGCTGCGAGACCTGTGGGTCCGGGCCGCTTGTCGACCCGCTTGGCTTGTTTCTAGAAGGCTTGCTTTCCGCTAATCCTTTGCCCCTGTTGCTGTGCTGCGTTGATTATAGCGGCGGCCGTAACCACTTTCGGGATTACTCTGTCGACCCCCGCCCCAGCTGTGGGAGCTCTGCGCCCGGCCCGTGGGGTGAGCGCGGGGTCCAAGGGTGCGGTGGCCCAGGCTGCAGAGTGGCCCGCCGCCTCTCCCCCAGTTACGGAGAGCCAGGCTCTCTCCATGTCCTCCCCCAGGGGCTCTCAGCACAGACAGCGGGGCCTCGCCGTTTTCAGAGATAAACCTGAAGTTCAGGAGTCCCTTGAGCGCGGCCTGGGTGGAGGGAGCGCGGTGTTTTGCTGGCCGGTCTTCTGTAAGCGTCCACCAGCCGGCGTCTCCGTGTCAGGAGTCCCTCCTCACGCCAGTACTTTGGAGGGAATCACGTCCTCTCTGAGCGCTTCCCGGCCGGGCCTGCTCCAAGTGGTTTCTTGGTCCTGCTAGCTTCGGGGTGCGAGTCTGACTCCATGTTTTCTCCGAGGAGGAGGGCTGGCGCTGCAGAACCGCGGGTGTAGACAGTGCTGGGGGGTGGTGGTGGTGGGAGGGGGTCGGGACAAGCAAGGTGACTGGAAAGTAAGGAGGGCTGTATTGAAAGCAGCTGTCCTGGTTTGTTATGACGCTCGTTGTCGCAAACAGCGCCGGTGGTAGTAATTCACTGTTTCTGTTGAGATGCTTGAATGTGTGTGCCTCCTCCCAAACCAGGGCGGTGGCCCTCCTTCATCAGTGGTTCTGTGAGTCGTTCTGTTTTTTCAGCAGATGCCGAACCTCCCAGCTGGAGGCCCAGTTTTGGCTGGTGGGACCAAAGGGGTTGGCTTGTAAGGTGCGTGGTGGTGAGGTGGGCAGTCCAGACCGGGCTCAGAGCAGTGGACTGAGCATTCCTAACCCAGGCAAGGAAGCTGCTCCAACCTAGGCTGAGCCCCGTGGCACTTCGTCCTGCTCCAGGAGGCAGAGCAGGAGAGGTGGGAGAAGACAGGACTCGGGTGAGAGATTTCACAGGGTACCTTTGCTTTTGTCACCGACTTATGTAACAGTCAACAGAGTGAAATTCAAAGGTGCTGAAGAAAAGGGGCCACCCTGTTGGGTGTGACGCTGTTGTGCAATCCGCACTTTTGAAAACTTTCTGTAGATGTGAGCTCCCCCAGGGTGAGAAAGATCATCTTGTTCATTGGTAACCTCAGCTCTTAGCATCCTTCCTGACTTAGTGTTTCTGATTGAGTGATTTTTGTGCAGATCATGGCAGCTGAGCAACAGAAAACTGAGGGTTTTTTTTTTTTTTTAAGGAAAGATGTTTCTCATTACATCTTTGATCTTAAGGTAGGCAGCCCTGTATCATTTCAGGGTTCATTCCTAGGTAATGAGCTATTTGCTTTTTCACGTCATTCGATTCTCAGTGAAGGAAATTGTGTCTGAGCCTGGAGTCTAGTTAATCTGGTGTATTTGATGTTTCAGTGAGTCTCATAACAACATAGGGTATAATTGTTGTTATATTGATCATAACTCCAGTTTCACAGACAAGGATGCTGAGAACCAAGAAAAGTTAATGACCTGCCCGAGGTCACAGGGCCAGTAACTGGTGCAGCTCGTATTTCCCCTGCCTCCAGACCTCTGTCCTGTCCCTGCGCCAGGCTGCATCCCTGTTTCCATCAGGGTTGCTTTTCTCAGACCACATTTGCTAGCCATGGTGGCTTTATTAAGCTCAAAATGTTCCCAACATACAGCTTTCTTAGGGGACCTCTTTTTAGGTGAAAGGGCCACAGTGAACACTTCTCCACTGGCCTGTGGACAAACGGTCCCATAAGCCCCGCTGGCAGGGTTTAATTGGTGGGAAATGTCAGTTACCATTTCCTGTGGAGAAAGTGTCAGGACCGACTGCTTTCTGTGCCTGAGTCCATCCGCCAGCCGTTCCTCTGACAGCAGGAGGTAGAAGCGGGGGCAGAGGAGGTCTGTGGAGGCTCGGGAATCAGGATGATCACAGATACGTGTGTGAGTTACGTGCTTGGCTGTGTAAAAGCTTACACAGTAGTTCATTTACTGTGAGTAAATGACAGTAGTTCAATTTGAGGAAGAAAGGTGGTGATCTCCACCCACTGGTGCCGGGAGCGGCAGTGACCTTTGCTGTAGGCCCGCCTTTGCACGTGGGGTTTCGAGCGTGCGTGTTATAAGCCAAAACTGCTGTTTGTTGCTTTTGTTCTCAGTGATCCTCTTTTGAGATGGTAAATTAAAGTCAGTCCTCGACCTGCTGCTTTCCTAGGGAACGCTGTACAGAACTCTCGTGGTTAGAAAGAGCAGCCTCTAGTAAGTGTTATCTAACAAGAGGAGGCTCCACCCAGAAATCTTGCTTTGACGTGTCCTGGAGGCTGGTACACAGTAAGTATTACAGGCCTTCCTGAGACTCACGATGTCTGAACGAGAATGACTAAGAGGAATCAAGCAGAAAATAAGGTCTGCGCACCATAGGAGGATGCCTTACTGATCGGAACACTCGAGTGGGATTCTCTGGGTTTTGAGCCAGACTGCTGCATTTGCCCACAGCGGAGCGCCCAGCTCCTGCTGTGCAGAGCTGTGCGGGGCCTCCCGGCCCCTGCTTCCACAGCAGCAGCTCAGGGCACCGCAGTGATTAGATGAACTCCTCAGTGCAGGTGGCTGGCGTTTTGCATGGAAGCCCAGTCGGACAAGCACTCTTGTCCCTTGACCTCTGATGAACTCGCGTGTGTTTGGAAGTCTTGAGGAATTAAGATGAGAGGATGAGTTCAGTGATCCAGAGGTTTTTGCTTCCCTCTCAGAGCAGACCCAGGCACGTTCTTAGTGACAAGGACATCCACAAATGCTGCTGGCGTGTGTCCCCCCCTACCCTGCCCACCACTGCGTTTTGCTCCAGCGCTCAGAGACAATCAAACAAGCCCTAGTGCTCATTATGAACATATTAATTATGTTCTCTGTTTCCACAGGCTTTTTCAGGAGGGTTTAATCACTGTGAGTTTATTGGCCTATTTTGAAAATGCTTTCCAAGTGGCTGGTGATGCTGTCCCAACACGCCCTCCTCCTGCCCCAGAGTGCCCCCGTCCTGCAGGGCCGGCCAGGCTGGCGTGGGGAAGGGCTGCTATGGTCCGCACTGCCTTTTCAGTTATTTCCTTAGAACTATTTTTGGTTAAAACAGAAGAAGTCAGCACTAAAGGACAGATACCATGGGGTTCCTGGAGAGGAGTGGTTTCCCAGGGCAGATCATTGGGTTTTACAGGTTTCAGTGCAGCAGCACCGAGCCAGCCTTCCCCTCCTGTTTCTCCCTTGGAGTTTTCTGAGTTTCAAGGCCTGAAATGACTTGGTTAAATTCGACTGCCTGGATTCCATGCACTCAGTGTGGCCTGGAAGGGGGAGGGGTGGACACTGAGACAAGAATAAACAGTTCTGAGCACGAAGCGCTTCACCCACTCCTCCCCTTCCCGGCCCGGGCCCTCCTCCCTTTCTTCTGGAGAGTTAAAGTGGACGGTATCTCTGTTCTGCCCTGACATTCTGCCTCCCACACCCAGGTCTTACTCAGCCTGTGGAAAAGCGGCTGTAATAATCTTTGGTGGCAAGACACTGTGGCCCGGGGCACACAGGGCCATCAGCTGCTGGGTGAACTGTCACTCGGTGAACAAAGGGAGCAGTCCCTGGCCGTCTCAGCCTCAGCTGGGACTCAGCGGAGACCATTCCCATTGTCCAGGGGGAAATGAGGTGGATGATCGGCACATTACAGGGGACAGTAGTTCCTGCTGTAGCTCCCAGAAGATGGAAGTGTTGCGGCAGTAGCCAGATGACCGCGCCTGCCGTCCAGAGAGGGTCTCTTTAAAGAGGGGTCATTCCAGTAGGACTAGGTGTTGATTTCAGGGTGTTTAAAGGAGCTTATCAGTGTGATTGGAAGTTTCCATCAGCACTTTTACTACAGAACTGTGGATAAAACTCCTCAAAGGGGTTTTCACTGAAATTTCAATCTTGGTTTATTCTCCTGGACACACGGTACCTCATTAGTCCTCTAACTTGACACACATATATGTTACATATAGAGAAGAAAGCTTGATTGTTACTCTGCAGGCAAAGGGGAGGAGTGAGGAGCTTCACGCTACTTTAAGATTCATCTTATATGCGCAATTCGAAATGTATATTTAATTAAAGCTAAATTAGCTTTTCAATGAGATAATGATCCAGCATTTGAGTATCTGACAGACTTGATGTGAATTCAGTGTAAAACTTGATGAGGGGTAGTTTTTTTCCTTATTAATATCTGTCTTAACAACAGCAGTTTTCCACTTAGACTTACTGTAACTAGATTATGTCTGCCAGAAAATGCTATGTTCTGCCTGATTTGGTTTCTTTATGCATTTAAATGGCAGACGTCTTTAAGATTCTTTAATACAATGTTCTCCAAATTAGAGCATGCTGTCTGAAAATTAATGTCATGTTAATTTGAAAATCACTCTCCCATCATGACCCTAATCTGAATAATCACAGTTTTTGCTTTTCAGATGCCTGCTCCCAGCTTACACGGCGTGTTACCTGTAACTTCTTTTCACCAAACCTGCAAATTGCTTTTTTCAAGGCTCAGAGGAAAGAGTTGAGACCCTGGCCTCATCCCGTGTCTGCAGCAGACTAGAGGGGGGAAGCCATTTAAACGTATGGAGTTTCAGTGTCCTCATTGTACAAGTGGGGGTGTTAGTGTCTTTCCTGCACAGGGCAGTGCTTTCCTGAGGACCTGCTGTGGTGATAGCTGTACTTGCACGCTGACGACATCAGATTCCAAGCCTTGGCCTGCTTTTTTTATTTTACGCCATGGTGCGCTTTACCAGTAGGACTTAAGGCTGATTACTGTTTCATTTGTCATGGCTGTTGCAGATGATTTCTAGCGTTTACTGGAAAGAGCACGTGTCTGAAACCAGACAGCCTTGGCTTGTAGGTGGGCTTCCGTGTGTTAGCAAAAAGCGTTTGGACACGTTCACCGGCGGGGGTTTGGTCTCCTTGTCCATCAGATGCCGGTGGTGTGTCCCTGGCAGGGTTATCATGGGCTCAGGACGAAGGTAAAGTGCTTAATAAAGGCTGTCTTGTGTTCTACCAATTTAGAGGAAGCAGGAGGTATGCAGGAGGTATGAGAGCAGTGATTCAGATACGTGCAGTTATGGTCTCTCCCTAATTTTCTTTTCAACGCAACTAATGTTAGTGATTATTTATGCCAAAAAGTACTAGCTGTTTACATCTGCATCTGACCTGCTCAGTGATCCGGGGGTGTGGGTTCATCTTGTCCTGGAACAGGGATTTTTAGCCTGCGGTGGTGGTGCGGGCGTCTGTGTAACACATCCAGCATTTAACGTCAGGGTCGAGGAGGGGCCCCGCTACAAAGTCTGAAAACCAGAGAATATTTTTACCTGGAAGTTGTATCGCATGTCTTTTTATGGCTGTGTCGCATTTGAAAACTCTTGTTGGAGTAACAGGTAACGTCAGGCATTAAAGCCCTGATAAACCTTCTGGAAGGAAACGCGATCTCAAAGGTTCCCTCCACAAACAGAATCCCCAGCATCACTGTGTATTTGTACGTGTACGTACACGGCAGTGATTATCGCTTGCGTTGAACTATTTTTTAATTAGTTACCCAGTGAAATAATTACCTTTTAACTGTATTCAGACACAAGTATAGAGATTAGGCTGTTTCTCCAGGTCAGAGCAGATTCATGGATGGGACCCGAGTGAAACTTGACCTTGATGTTGCAGATTCAGGAGTAACTCTCTACTCTTTATCAGAAGAATGGCCCGTACAGGCCTGTTGGAAAGCTTCTGGGCTGTGGCTGGTCCCCTCCAGGGTGGCCATGCTCCCACCCCGCAGTATCAGTGCCTCAGTGCCAGGGTCGGGCGTCCAGAACAATCTCTCTCAGCTGCAGGCTGGCAAAGACCTTCCTGAAATAGCTGTGTTCTTCAGGCCCCAGAAGAGCCCTGCCTGTCCGGCTGACCCGCTTCTGTGCTGGCCCAGTCCCAGCAAGTTTTCCTACGAGGAACTAGATTTATAGGAAGAGATCTCCATAGAGGGGGGAGAAAAAGGAAAAAGAAATGAAATTTGCTTCTACTTCACAACATTTTCAACACTAAAATTTACCTTTCTTAGGATGCCTTAGAATGTCTAATTTTTAATGAGGTTGTCATCACTGGTTCCGAAATTCTGTAAGAACACTTAGCAGACGAGAAGAAAAACATTTTATTCGTTTGATCCCTGCGAGCCTGGGAACGCCTTCCTCCCTAACAGCCCTTCTCCTTGGGCGTCCCCTGAAATAGACTCCATTTGGAGTCATGGTCAGCGGAGCAGGTGGTCCTCTTGGCCGGGTGGTGTGGGCGGAGTGGGAGAATGTACGGGCTAGGTTCAGGGAAACGAGATGCCACATCTGTGTGCTTCCCGAGACGGGTGATTGCTGCACGTGGTGGGGCGGGCGGGACAGTCATCTTCACCCCGTGAGTGCCGGCCTCTGTTTTTCCACGAGGAGTTGCAACTCGCTTAATAGCCTCTGGGACGTAATCTCACCCAGGATAAAATACTCTGGGAGATTTCTCTCTCATCGGTTTCTCGTCTGTGAGGCGCTGATGTTGGGAAACTCTTGTTCTTCATTGTAAGTAAATCCCTGGTTTTATGATTAAACGCAGGTGGCCTCCCTGGCCTTCTGAGACGGCCTGCACTCGGTCTGTGGAGCGCTCACCTCTCTGAATAAATCTACCTTAACTCAGGGGAAAAAAAAGGAATAAATGCAGGATTAGTGGGAGCGGTGAGGCTCCAGGGAGAAAGTGAGTAGCAGGAGAGCCGGCAAGCTAGGGAGCCCACGTCTGGGGAGGCTTCCCCTGGGCTGCAGTGTCCATTGTGCAGAGCAAATGGGAATGACCGAGGGTGTCCTGGTCTGGAGATGCGGGCTGTCTGTGATGAAAGGAATCGAGAAAACTCCTAGACTGCATTTCTTAGTCTCCCACCTTCCAGGCTGCTCCTCCTGGAAGTCGTTGTCATGGAATTTGCATCTCGCCTGCTGCAGCCCTGTCTATGGGTTTGGGAAGGATTCCTCACAATTGGACTACAAGACTGGAACGAAGCAGAGGGCGGCTGCGCCCAGCTTGCGTTGCATTTATGATTTCGTCTTTCCAGGCGTTGACCGATGTTCCCGTGTATTCATTCCACAAGTACTGGTTGAGGCCCTTGTGTGGCTGACCTGCTCTAGACACGGGGGGTGCAGAGGGGAGCCGACTCTCAAGGTGTCTGCCCTCCTGGGGCTCACCTTTCCGCGAGGATGAGGGCGACAGATGCTGAGTAGGAAGAAACAGATTATATTCAACAGTGATTAGGGGTGGGAAGGAAATAGGGCAGGCCCGGGACTAGAGACCATGGGGCTGGGGGTGTCGGGGAAGGCGGTGTGTGCCTTCCAAATGATGTGACCGTGAGCTCTACCAAGAGCTGGCTGGGGAGGGGCGTTGTAAGGAGAAGGCAGCACAGGTGACCCTGTGGGGCCAGCGGGGGGGAGGGAAGGGGGGTCCTGGGGGGCTTAGAAGAATTTCCTCTGTGTGATGGGAAGCCCCCTGGAGGGTCTGAGCTGGGGGAGGTGGTCTGCGTTACATGCTGAGAGGATGACTCTGGGTGGAGAATGGACAACAGAGGATGAGATGCTGGAGGGGACGCCGGGGGCCCAGGTGCTGGGCCTACCTGTGTGCGAGCCGCTCCCGTGAGAGGCGTGGAGGCTGACGGGCGCCGTGGTGTGGAGCCGCTGCGAAGACAGCCCTGCGGGCGGTTTTGTTTTTGTTTTAATTGGAGTCTAGTTGATTTACAATCTCGTGTTTCTGGTGTGCAGCGTAGCGGTTCGGTGAAACATACGTACACGTCTATCCCTTTCCTAGCACCTTCCGTTATAGGTCGTTCCAAGGTATCGATGGTCGTTCCCTGCGCTCTCCCGTGGGGCCCTGTTGTTTCACACATAGTAGTTTGCATCTGTGTGTCCCGGAGTCCTAATTTGTCCTTCCCCCACCCCTTTCCTGTTGGACAACCACAAGTTTGTTTCCTATGTGAGTCTGTTCCTGTTTTGTAAACAAGTTCACTAGCGTCAGTTTTTCAGATTCTATTTTGATGTTGAGCTGATGGCACTGCGTTGACTGGGGGACGGGAGGGAGGGAGGGGGCCAGGAATAACCCTGGGTTTTCTCCTGTACCCGGAGTGTCTTCACGTCAGTGCCAGCCTAGAATGGAGATGGGGAGTGCAGGACAAATGAAAAACCAAACCCGAGTGTATTTGAAACAGCACACAAGGCTTTACACTTACAGCCCTGAGTCCCATGGTCAGTGCTGCGGTTGTGTTGCGGGACGGGATTTCAGGGACGTTTGCAGGTGTGCGGTAATTCTGGGGCAGCGCACAGTTACGGGTCCACTAAGGTTTGTGTTCTTTGAAGGTGACATGTGTCTGACTCACCTTCCTGCCCAGACTGTCTTAGAGATACAGCTTTAGGCCTGTGTTTGGTTTGAATCTAAAGGCTGTTACCTGCAGAGATGACTGCATTTATGATTATGCTTCTGTAAGGAAATGTCAGGGGTGGAGTGACTGCTGAGAAGCTGTGATGAATGATCCAGGCTAGTTCTTGGCTTCTGCCCCTTGCGATTTGAGCAGACGTCGGGTGATGCTGTCTTGTGCAGGGTCACACAGGTGTGGCTGGACACCGGCAGGTAGCCGGCGGGTGGTGGACGGTGGTGCGGGGCAGGGGTGGATGGGATGAAGGTGGGTCCTTCATGATGCACTGGGCTTCTAAGTCTGCCCCGTCTGGCTTGTGCAGGACGAGTTGGATGAACTCCGTGCCGAGATGGAGGAGATGAGGGACAGTTACTTAGAGGAAGACGTTTACCAGCTGCAGGAGCTCCGGCGGGAGCTGGACCGCGCCAACAAGAACTGCCGGATCCTGCAGTACCGCCTCAGGAAGGCCGAGCAGAAGAGCCTGAAGGTGGCTGAGACCGGGCAGGTGGACGGCGAGCTCGTCCGCAGCCTGGAGCAGGACTTAAAGGTGGGTGAGCCGGCAGGATGGGACCTGCCCCCCCGGAAGGGACTGCAGGGGGCAGGATGTGGACCCGAAATGTCACGCTCAGAACCCACTTCCCCGCAGTCTTTGTGTTCGGTCAGTGCCGTCAGCGTCTCTCTCAGCAGATTTCAGCTTAAACGTTCTTCGCTCGGTGATTGGTCTTACAGGGTGTGTAGGGTCATGTGGCTTTGATGGACCAAGATTTAAAGCCATCATAGGAACTGGAATCTTAGCCCCCTCTCCAAAAAAAGGGAAGAAAAGAAATCATAGTAATGGATCTACAATTAAAGAAAAAAAACCTGCCCATTGTGTATAAATTGTATAAGAACTCCTCCTAAAGATCGGAAATGTTTTAAAATTGAATTATCAGTTCAATCGTAGTCAAAGACCACTTTTAAAAATTGACCATAATCACTTGACATTTTTTGTTGTTGTTGCTATTTAAGTTTCTAGAATGCGGAAAACTTGAAATTACCATCATCCAAGTTAAGACTTGTAGTGGTGATTTAACTGAAAGAGAGACAGGGCATAACTAGCTGCCTACAGGGTCTTTGAGAACCACTGGCAGGTGTGGGAAGGAGGTGAAAACATCCCAGACTTTACCCCGTTTGTTCTGCCCCCCACAGCTCCTCTCGTGCCCCCGTTATCCAGTCGTTTATCTTGCGATGACTTGTGCATCGTGTCCCCTTATTACGGGCGTCCCTGTGAAATCTCATGTAGCCGCTCACTGTAACAGGAAAGGGATCTTTGTAACTGAGATTTATAAGCCACTGACCACATGTCATTCACTGTGACGTAAAGGTGATTTATATTTCTCTTACAAAATCTCCCTCTTCACTTTTAGAAAGTGAAAATGTGTAACTGCGTTTAACATTCGAACATTGTACCTCAGTAAGCGGTTTAAAACTTGACTCCATCTAGTGCATCCAGAATTACTGTATTTGCTTTTTTTAGCAAGTTGGTTTAGTATTATTTTAGGGAAGAGAAATGCTTGTTTGATGATGATGACAGTGAGGTTTAATGCATCCTTGGAAGCGTGCGTGCCTGGGCAGAGTTGGCATTCTTAGAGTCTGTGAGGAGGGCTGTGCAAAGCGGCCTTTTAGCCCGGGTGACAGTCCTGTTCCCCCCTGACTGTGGACTTCATGCTTTAGACGAGGCCTGCTGACAGTGCTGGGGCCTTTGCTCTTTGGTGTAACACAGTGTTCCTTAATGCGCCGCCTCTGAAGTTTGGAAGCACCCTTAGCCCATCCTGACAACTGTCTCTGTGGGTCCACGCAGGTAGCCAAAGATGTGTCTGTCAGATTGCACCATGAACTTGAGACCGTGGAGGAGAAAAGAGCCAGAGCCGAGGACGAGAATGAGACGCTCCGACAGCAGATGATTGAAGTGGAGATATCCAGGCAGGCCCTCCAGAATGAGCTGGAGAGACTGAAGGAGGTAACCCAGCGTCGTCTGTGGACGTGTCCCTGGGGTTGGGTCGTGAGGAACTCACGACTCCACGTTCCAGCTCTTGTCGTGGTCTGAGGCAGGGGTCGGCCAGCTGTGGTTTGTGCAGCCCAAGAACTAAGAATGGTTTTTACAATTTTTATAGCATTGTTAAAAAAAAACCCAAAAACCTAAAAGTAAACCTATAAAGTAAACCTAAAAAAGCAAAGATGCCGACGTGACTTGCAAAGCCTGAAATATTTGCTGTCTGGCCCTTTGCAGAAAAGGCTTGTTGGACCCTGGGCTAAAGCTGTTTTTTATCATTTCCATTCAGAGGAGCTGGCCGTTAATTTCCTTTATGGGTCCAAACGGGGTATGTTATTACTAAAATACTAAAGTAGGCAGTTGGTTTTTTTTTCCTCGAGAGCCTCTCTTGCAGTGAGCTGGAAAATACGCCGTCCTTGCCCATTATCTGTGTAAACAGACGACGTGTGTGCGCGGCCTCTGTCTGTTACCCGGCCAGTGTGATTTAAATACAGATTTCTTTTAAATTTCAGGGAGTGAATGTGTTCTCACAAAGGGGTCCAGGCCATGAATATGTATTTTTGTTCATTTGCAGCAGTAATGCAAATCCTGTTTTGTGGGGCTCCCATGATAAGATTAAAGCTGAGTGTTTCTTGGAGAACATCCTGCATGTTGATGAAGTTAAAAACTGGTGGTGAGGGCTTCAAGACGGCGGCTCAAGCCAGCGTCCTCCCCGCCAACAGCCCCACTTAGCGGGTCAGCTTCCTGGTTCGCCCGCCCATTGGCCGCCGGTCCGCCCGCCCTCCACTCGCACCTCACTGGGGGGCCGGACGTGAATGTGAGCGGGCCCTGCCCTCCAGGTGTGTGCGTCCGTCCCATCGGCGCAAGTCAGCAGCAGAGCCAGTCAGTCACAGCCCAGGCGCTGCCGCCGCCCCGCCTGCGACCTCCCCGCCCGCCGCCCTCTGCGCGGGGTAGATTCCGCGTGTTGTCACCACTTCTCTGAAGAGGCGTGTGTTTCGTTCCTTGGTCCCTCGTCAGTGCCCCTCCCTGCTTCCTGAGTGCCTCCATGGGACCGGCTTCACCGTGGGGACACCCAGAGCAGTGCCCCGGGGTCCCTGGGGACGCGCCAGGCGAGGGAGGGATGGAGGTGAGGGCGCGGGGCCGCGGCGGGCTTCTCCGAGGGGAGGGCCATCCTGAGCGCGCCGTAGCTGTGGGCAGCCCTGCCCGGCTGGGGGCCTCGCACCTGTCCGCGTGAGGCTGAGTAATTCATGCCCCCGTTTCCTTCGGCCTGAGTTTGCTAGAAGGCATGCTGTCGTGAGATTTTCCCTCAGTTTCCAGTTGGAACCTCACCTTGAGGGTATGGGAAACAACCTGGAAGTCTGTTTTGTAAATTCTACGTGCGCGTACGTGTAAAGATGCAGATCACACACCTAAGTGAATGCCTGTGTGGAGAGCAAGCAGAGACCCTTGCACGTTTAGACGGATTTGTGAAGGACTTGGCATCAGGTCAGGAACAGCTCTCTGGGGAGAGAGTGGTCACTGAGGTTGGAGGCAGGGACCCTGAGAGTGGTGAGGTGGGCTCAGGCAGGCTGCGAGGGGGGGGTGGGCGGTCGGCCCCTCCCTTTCTCTAGGGGTTAAAATGACTCACGAGGATGGCTCCTCTGGGACCCAGGAATGGTATTTGACCTCTGGAGCTGCAGTCAGACCAGTGGGGCTGCGTGTGTACACCAGGCATCTTGGTGCTCAGGAGGCTGAGGAGTCTGGACACTGGTGGACTGTGCTGGACGTGGAGAGTGGAGAAGCGAGCCGCCTGCGGTTCAGAGGTGGCCGGTGGGGCTGCTTATCAGAGAATGCCGGCTGGGGTCTCTGAGAATGGGTTCTCTTTACCGAAGCCAGGACAGAGTCCGCTGAGGGGGCTGCTGGAGAGCCGGGATGGTCTTTTCTCCATCCTGAGCCTTGTTCACCTTGGGAGTTTGGCAGCTGCACAAAGCACCACTTTCTGGGAAAGGCGGCGACAGTCGTGCCCCATGTGTGTCCCCAGGGCAGGTGCAGTTGCAGGCGCATGTGTGCCCTCGGCCTTGGGGGACAGAAAGGGCTCTGTGCTGTGGCTCCAGCGTTTCCTAGCCTGCTGGCTGTTTCCCGCTCCCCGGTGCCCTTCTCCAAGGTGGGTTTCATCAAACTCAGTCTGTCCAGGAACGGACTGGTCACCGTCGTCCCCACCTGCACCTGTGTTAATGGTGCCACCGTCCTTCTAGACCCCCAGGCTCAGGCGATGGCAGGGACCCTTGCCGCTCTTGCCCTGCCCCTTAACTGCCTCCTGTCCACCTTCACTGTCTTAGAAATTGTCCTTCTCACCAGTATGTGCGGCGACATGGATGAACCTCGAAAATGTACCAAGTGGAAGAAGCCGGGCGTTGTGTGAGTCCATTTATAGGAAATGTTCAGACAGGTCAGTCCATAAACATAGGAAACGGATGAGCGGATTCCAGTGTGGGGAGGGGGGAGACTGCCTGCGGTCCCCTGCTGGGGGACGACGTTTGGAACTCCACGGAGGTGGTGGTTGCGTGACGTGAATGTGCTCAGTGCCGCTGAATCACGCACCTGAAAATGGCTCATTTTAACGTCCAATCACATATTTTACTGTCCTGTCCATCCTTTCACCTGTCTCCTCTCAGATGAGCGTCTGAGGGCTGCTGCCGTCACCGCGTTAGGCGTGCACTGCTTCTAGCCGCTCCCTTTTCTGTTTTAGCTTCCGAAGCTGAGTGTCCCTCTGCTGAAACGAACTGCCTCGCACTGTCGCGTGGCACCGTCCATCCCTGCGTCCCGGCTGGGCGCCCCCCGCCCCCGCGGCAGTAAGCCCTCGGTGGGGTGCCGGGCAGTGGGAGGGATGAGACGAGACTGTGCCCTCTGGTCCTCTTGGATGAACGGAGGTGTGTCGTGGAAACGTCACCTCCTCCGGCAACAGCTGAGGGTTAGGGAGGGCTGGCAGGCTCCCCCCGGAGCCGTCCCTCCTGGGAGCCAGCTGGCCTGCTCCCGGGGCCTCCTCACGCCGTGTCTGTGCACCCAGACCCCCATTTAGCCCTTCACCTGGGCAAAGCTTAACATTTCTTTTTGCCCTTTTTTGGGAAGTACATTTCTAGTACTGTCCATGGTAGAATATCTCAAAAGGCTGGAAATGGTTAACTTGAGTTCAATTTCACCGTCTTAAAGATTGTCCAAGCGCTTTCCCTCAGGGGTATTTCATTCCACCAGAAAGTCTGCTCGACACAAAAATAACTAGCCAAGTTTGCTGGCACTCGCAAGGACGGACATGTCCTAGATCCCTCCGGGGAACCAGGGTGGGTGCACGGAGTCACAGGGGGCCAGCTGGCTGTCAGCTGGCCCTCGTGGGACACCTTCCAGCACCATTCAGGATGCAATGCTGATTCTCTGGGTTTGGTTCTGACTTCTTTTGGGCCGAGCAAAGGGTCAGGTTTTGTAAATATTTCTTGAGTGCTTGAGAGGAATATACATGCTCCAATTTTGGAGTAAAGACTTTATATCCATTAGATTGAAGACTTTCAAGCTTGAACTATAACCCATAGCAGGAAGTAGGTTATATATCGTCACTCAATATACAAATGTGAAGGTTTCACAAAATAATTTTTATCTTTGCCATATCAGGAGCATTCTGATGTTTTCAACTCTATTCTGTTCTGGATGTTTTGATGGTGGTTATAAGTTTGATGAGTGCATTAGTGGATTGCCACAATTTGGAAAAAAATATATTGGATCATTTGTTCATTGTGGTGTTCAAATTTTCTATATCCTTTATATTTTGCCTGCTAAATGTACCTAGTTAGGGTAAAGATACATTAAAATCTCCCCATTATAATTTTGCATTTAAATTTTCTTCTTGTAATCTGTCAAACTTCATAGAGTTTGAATATGACTGCACAAAGATTTAGAACTATTTTTGTGGTGAATTGTTTCCTTTATCATTTGATAATGACCTCTTTGTCCTAATCTGGCTTTTTTGCTGTAGAGCCTACTTTGTCTGCTTTTATCATCTACATCGAATTTCTCTTAGTGTTTACCTGAGACTGTCTTTTTTGTGATTCTGTTTGTTTTTCTACGCAAACCTGCTTTCAACTGCTGGTCCTGATTTGGGGGTTGGGGGGGTGTTTAGCTGGAGAACAGGAAGGGGAGAGATCCGATGTCCTGCATGACAGCCCAGTGAGGGGCCCGCTGACTTAATAATGAGGTGGCAGGATGGGACGAGGGAGCAGGACGAATCGGGGGTGTCTGCTTAAGTCATTTTCCCAAATGCTGCAACACGAGAAGAGTCCAGGGTGGGGGTGTGTGTGCACGTGTGTGCATGTGGTGTCTGCACGGAGATTTGAAGGGAAACAGCCTCTGTGTCCTGCCCGCACCCCGAGGGCGGGGATGCGATTGGACTGGAGCCGCGTCAACCAAGGGGACAAAGACCAGGCCAGGAGATCAGCGTTCAGAGCCCGTGGGGTTGGCGGGGGTGCAGGTCGGGGCAGGGCAGCCACCGCAGGAAGACTTGGCAGGGTAGTTTGAACGCTTCTGCTCTAAATGGCTCGGTTTTGGTGTCTGGGAAGAAAGGGGGTGTGTGTTCAGTTAAACAACCGTAAGTAGTGCTAATGGTGGATTCACTGTTGCTGGAAGGGACGCGTTCACTCTGGTCCCCGGCACCTGCCCCGGAGCCGTTCCTTGTCAAAATCAAGATGGAGTCACAGCAAGGTTTCCACGAGGCTAGGAAAGGGGTGGTGGCCCCCCACCACGTGCCTCTGACCCAGCACCCCCCACCCCGTCCTCGGGACCTCAGCCCGAGCCCCGCCTCCTCCTCTGCTGCGGCCCCGGGAGGAGGCGGCCTCAGGCTGCCGGGTGGCACTGGAGGGGGCTCTGTGCAGACGCCTGTGGGGCCCCACCAGGGAGGACACTGGGAAACGATGGGCTCCCCAGGAAGGGCATCTGCATCTTGC